TTTGGCCAAGCAGATGCACCTAGAGAAGGCAGGCGTGAGATGCAGGCTGTGCTAACGCCAGCAAGCAGGATCACGGAAGTGCCTTTTCTGAGGCATGGTACAAAGCACCTAACGGGGTGTAGATAGTAGCAGACCTGACAAGTGTTGCAGAGAACCAGCAGTGGTAGTGTGGTTTCCTGATCACAGCGCTATCTGCATCCCCACAATATTGGTATACTTGGGAATGAGTGGTTTCCTGAACTTAGAAAGAGGAAGTAGCTCTCTTGGTTGATCTGGTTCTACAATGTGGCATTGGGAGTGATTCCTCAAAGCTCTCTCAGTTCTCAACAATTCTAAGTTTGGATTAGTATGTCATTTTAAAAGTCTTCTCTTGCTTAAACTTAGAACTAATGCTGTTCTCTGCAACTGAACCTTAATATATCAGGTAATGGTGATGAACCTAAGAAGGTAGTAAGGACACTGTCAGGAACTGTGCTGAGATTTTATCCTGTTTGCACAGTGCCTGTCACAGTTTTGTGGATCCTGGCAAGACCCCTGGGTCAGAGTCAGATGGCTTAATTCACAGCACAGCAAGCAGCATGAGCTTCATGTTCCATCGATTCCCTTTGCCCTCCAAGTCCCATGTGGGCAATGCAGAGTGGCCCAGGTGGGTGGTGAGCACACAGTGAGTTTGCATCACAGATGGAGGAGGCTATCCTTATAACACTGGACAGTAACTGACATCCTCTCAAGGGAGACACACTATCTTCTAAGGCTGTTCACTACGTAAATATCATTGGAAAAGACAGTCAAAAGATAGGTTGTCAGAGTCTCTACTTACCTGACGTGCAGAAATGCAAGAGACCCATGAAGAATTGTTTCCCAACACACATTAGCCAGCTTTTCATTTGAATTATAGCCACTGTTGTTTTAGAACCCAAGACCACGGTTTATCTTTTAAAAATATACTTTAACCATGGAATTTAACAAACATTTATATACAATCAGAGACTAATTTGAAGTATGTTTTCCATTCATTTCAGCCATGAGAAAACACATTGCAGTCAAAATTAAAGATATCCATCCATAAATTACTTTTATTTCTCATTAAATGAGCACAGAGTCATTAGTATATTAATAACAGATATGTTTATTATTACATATCCATCAGTGCGGCTTTCAATACCACTTGAAACATGCATATCATCCTAGAGACGATCAGTTTTCCAGTGCTTCTTATCTGATACACATTACTGCAAAGCCATTATAAATTACTGAGGAGGTATTTGGTTAAAAAAAAAACAATAAATCATACTGCCCATATGAATCAACACTTGTTACTGGACAAGAGTTTAACAGTATTTATCTGGAAATTCCTATGTTAACTGGAAAACATCATGGATGTATTGCCATAATTTCCTTTTCATACTGATGCAACTTTCTACATTTTTTGCAGACAGTTTTTATAAAGTCATTATTGTAGCAGGTAGTTTGATGCAAAGATTGTACTCAATTTATGAAAGTCCAACAAACCTCTAAATATTTTAAATTAAACCAATTATCAATGAAAAACTCACTGACACATAATTTTTTGAAAATACATTTTTTGAAGTTTCTATACTTACTCATGGCAGTAAAATAATTATCTCAAATTAAGGCACTAAAAGGACAATGCAACCCCCATTGAAAGTGTTCTAAGAATAATTTACATTTTAAACAGTGCATACATTTCTTATATGTTTGTTAACTTAATGTCTTTATCATTTAAAACCACAAAGAAATACATTATACAATTATAGAAATGATGTACCCGACAAAATGCTTTTAAACTTGGTTCTTTTGCACAGTTAGTTTCCTAATGTCTCTAGTAGTAAAATAACTCAATATGGCTTGGCAAAAATGCATAGATTAAATGTAATTTTTTTTGTCCTCTCCCGTTCCCCAAACTTGCTGAAACATATACAGTATTTTGTAAAGCATAATGAAAGATATTTAATTTCTCCATGAAGTCCACCATGGGCAATCAACAGTAAGGCTTTTAAATTCTACAGTGAGGGCACTGAAGTTCAAGTGATATCACTGCTTTCTTAAAATAGTTTTGTATAGTCTCGCAAGAGCACAAAAACGTAAGTCATTAAAAAAAAAACAAAAAAAAACTTCAGTTTGTCTCATTTTGAGATATTTTCTTTACTCCTTCCATGAGCTGATCTTGATAGTGATGGCCGTTCCACTTGAAAGTGAAAGTCCCTTCCTCTTACTCATATGAGGAAAACTCTGTTCTATCACGACTGACAGGCATTTTCTTATAAATCCGAAAAGGCAGCACCTTTAAAAAAAAATATATCTACCTAAGCTTTCCCCCAATTGTACTTGCATTACATAGTAATAATTAATCTAATCTACCTGTAGGCAAACCCGCAATAAAAAAAAAAAAAACCCTCAGTGTGTTGTGCCAAAGCAAGGATAGAATAACAGCAATCTTAACCCTGAAGCCTGTGATATTTGTGTCAAAGAAACAGCCTGTCTGATCTGCATGGTTAAAGAAGCCTGGTTTATCAGGTAGCATCCCACACGATTCCACAAGGCATTCGGTCACATGGTTAACTGTTGAGGGGGGAAAGAAAAAAACTAATTTAAGAAATGCACTCAGTTTAAAAACACTAGAAATAAACATTAGAAGGAAAGGTAAATATACATTATCTTTACATACAATAATTAACAATCACACAAAATTTGGAAAACAAGGAATAGGAAAAATATACTTAGTATTCTCTCCTCTTTGTTTCTACACCTTTTCTTACTCAGCTATAATTCCATTTTAAATCATTTTAGATCCAGCTTAAATTTTCAGACACGTGTTTTTACTCTGCTATAATCTAATTTTAAATCATTTTAGATCCAGTTTACAACCTATGCTCAGGAGAAGGCTAACACAGCATTCTACGGAATTAAGTTAGCAGTGAGGTGATAATACCTGGGGTAGTGTGGTGGCTGAGGAAGGAAAGGATATGAATCATTTCAAAGGATTAGGCCTGGTTACTGACAATAGGGATGAATTCAAGATGGTTTCAGGCCTGCTTAGAAGATATGGGTGGCATTAGAAGCGAGGCAAATCAGTGTTAGGTCACAGCTTCTAGATTCGAGTGGCCCTATTAATCCAGGGATTATACTCTATGGAAGCCGGTATGTGGTGCAAGAGAGGCTTTAGAATTGGACAGAAATGGTTTCCAATCTTGGCTGTGTGATTGAGGAAACTGCTTAATTTCTCTGAGCCTTATTTGCTAATATGTAAAATGAGAAATTAATGAGATGAGATTTCATAATTTCTCTTGAAAAAAGTTAATTGCAAGGTGCGGTGGCTCATGCCTGTAATCCCAGCACTTTGGGTGGCCAAGGTGGGTGGATCACCTGAGGTCAGGAGTTCGAAACCAGCCTGGCCAACATGGAGAAACCTCATCTCTACTAAAAATACAAAAATTACGCGGGTGTGGTGGCACGTGCCTATAATTCCAGCTACTTGGGAGGCTGAGGTAGGAGAATAGCTTGAACCCCAGAGGCAGAGGTTGCAATGAGCTGAGACCATGCCATTGCACTCCAGCCTGGGCGACAGAGCAAAATTCCATTTCAAAATAAATAAGTAAATAAATGGTTAATTATGTCTTATAATTGTTTATCATAGCATAAAAGATATTTTTGGGAAAAAGTTCATCAAAAATAGTTAAACAGTCAGGCATGGTGGCTCAAGCCTGTAATTCTAGCACTTTGGGCAGGATTACTTGAGGTCAGGAGTTTGAGACCAGCCTGGCCAACGTGACAAAACCCCGTCTTTTCTAAAAATACAAAAATTAGCCGGGAGTGGTGGCATGTGCCTGTAATCCCAGCTACTTGGAAGGCTGCGCAGAAGAATTGCTTGAACCAGGAGGCAGAGGTTGTAGTGAGTTGAGATAGCACCACTACTGTACTCCAGC